AGGGAGGGAGAAAGGGAGAAAAGGAGAAAGGGAAAGGGAGAAAGGGAGAAAGGGAGAAAGGGAGAAAGGGCGGAAAAGGACACAATAGACACACACGCACACACACACAGAGGGAGAGAGAGAGGGAGAGATACGGAGAAGAACAAGAGAGGGGGAGAGAGAAAGAGAGAGGGTACACACACACTACACATACCGTGTTCCCAATCTTGACCAATGAGGAGCCTTCCGCCGTTGCAATAGAACCTGAAGAGAGGTCAAAGCCAACGAACAGTCAACTGTTGGTGGCACATAAGTTTTTACTTTTTGTTTGCTGCATATATACTATTTTTTACTTTTCAATTTTTTCCGATTACAAATATCTTTTTTTTTTTCTTTTTTTTTTTTTTAAACAGGGCCTTGTGGTCCTGGCTCCTTCTATTCTGGGGAGTGTCAGTCCGGTTCCTATTCCCCCGGCAAGTCAAGAATAACTTACATTACAAAAGACACCCACGCTTCCTTCCGTTCGGCCGAAGGACCCCTGAGCAGCATTGATTGCTCCACCATTGGTGGAGGATTGACTGTCAGCTTGCCACGACTCTCTCTTTCCTCTCAGAACTGAAAACCGGTTCTGCCAGATATTGCTATATTTCCTAGAAAGAGCTCGCCCACTATTTCTACCAACCTGTACATTGCTCACTGACTCTGTCCAAACCTTAATACAGGGCCTTGTGGTCCTGGCTCCGTTCTATTCTGGGGGGCGTCAGTCCGGTTCCTATTCCACCGGCAAGTCAGCATATACTTTACAATGAAACTCACACACATTTCCTTCCGTTCGGCCGACGGACCCCTGAACAGCATTGATTGCTCCACCTCGGTAGAGGATTAACTGCCAGCTTGCCATGTCTCTCTCTTTCCTCTCAGATCTGGAGGCCAGATCTGCCAGATAGTGCTAATTCGCCTAGAAGGAGCTTCTCCTTAGTCCCTACTGGCCCGCCTCATCCCCCACTCATCTGTCCTGCCCGTGAGGTGTGATATCCCCTGTCCCATTTTATCTGTCCCCTTTTCTTTAAATAAGCCCTAAAACCCTGAACCTTAAGCCCTCAACCCGTGTACCCTTAATCTAACTTCCCCTTTTGAGAACCTTTTCTCCTTGTTCTGGTCTTTTGGTCTCTCTCCCTGTTATCCATCCATAGCTGAAGAAGTTTAGGCTTGCCGGTCTCCCGTGGGAGTCTGATCTGGAGGTGTTTTGCCCATCCGCTGTTATCTGTTTTCTGTGGTCTCTTCCTGAATTTGAAAAGTGACAGTCTTCCGGCGGTTGTAGTCATCTTGTGTACAAGAAGTGGTTGATCCATCTGCCGTTAACCGCTGTTGGAAACTACTTTCTATCGCTGGGTTATGCCACTCTTTCCAACGGATACGGACCTCTCGTATCTCTGCAATCTTGCCGTTGAACAGCGAATTCTTGTAAAACCTCCGACCCTCGTTCTTTTGCCGTTCCTCGTCTTCTGTCCAGACTTGCCGAACCTTTCCTAGCTTTGCCGCCTTCCCAATCAATAGCCCGTGTTTTGTTAGCTTTTCCTGGCTCTTTCCTGCAGTTCTGGATCCTCCGAAATTGATTTTGTATCTTTCCTCSCATTCCTTTGTCTTTYRTTCTYGCTGCCTGGTATCCTTTGTTCCCTTCGCTTCCGCTGCTTATCTGTAATAAGCCCAGACTGGGTTCTCCTGTCTTTCTCTGGCTTGTGCCCGTCTTTTCAGGGAACCCATACTACCGTGACACGACCGCGCGACCATCCACTATTCGCCGCCCTGTGGAATTTTATCCTCACCTTTTCTCCCCATTCTTCGTCCTCGGTCTTCGACTGCTTTGGCTTCTGCTGTCCTGGAGCTGGTTTCCGCCGGTGCTATGGTTTTCCTCTCCAACTGTATCTTTTCTCTTGGGTTGGGCCGCCCTTCCCTAGCTTTGCGGGGTCTCACTTCTCTCCCGTTCCGCTGCTTCCCCTTCCTGGCCCTATCGGACCATAGCCTTCGGTCTTCTTGAGTTGGTCGGGGGAGTTAGTCCAGTGGAGGGGTTAGATGGGGTATTTTGGGGGTGAGGAAAGGGGAAAGGAGTCTCCGAGGGCAGAGGCTCGTGTCCAGTAGGCCGTAGCTTCCCTACATGGGTTTAGTCAGTTTACCACAACTTCCTGTGTCCCTTCGACCCGAACCCGGCATTGGAACTCCCAGTTTTTGAAGTGCAGATAGCCTTTCTTTATTTCCGCAATTCTGTTCTTGCTGAGACAGATTCTTTCGAAATTTTGCAGACTCAGTTCGCGTTTCTCTGGTTGTAAAATTTTTTGCTGTGCCTTTTGTTCCCTGTTCCATTGGGCTCTTATCTCCGTTTGGACTATGGTTTGGATTTCGGTCCACTTCTCTTCCACGCTGCTGATTTGGTCCGCCAAGACACCCTTACATCTTGCTTTCCAGATTACCCACAGGGCTGCTCTTCTCAGTAGGTCTGCCAAAAAGGTATCCTCTTCTTCGAGGAGTCCTTCGTCTTCTCTTCCTGATATTAGGTAATTCATATTTGAGGGATAGGCCTGACCTGTTAGGTTGGACCACAATGTTTTGATTCTGTCCCAAAGTTCTTGTGCCCGCTGGCAAGAGATCAGGCAGTGCGTTAGTGATTCCTCAGTGTTCTCGCTGCACAGCTTGCACCAGCCTGCTTGATGTTGGGGTTCTTCTTGTTTTCTTCTTTTGCTCAGCCATTGGTTGACAGGCACTGCCCAATAAAGTATAAGCCACTGTAGACTTCTGAACCTTGTTGGTTTCATAGTAGCATACCTGGGGTTAAAGTCGAGGTTCCCCTTCGCCGTGTTTTTTTTTTTTTTTTTTTTTTTTCAATCGCGAAGGGGAACCTCGACTTTACCCACGGCGGCAAAGCTCCATTTTCAACTGGATGGGAACATAATAAGAAAAGAAAAAAAAAAGAAAAAAAAAAAAA